TGAACTGCAGAACTGCAGTCAGCTGAAGTAGCCTGCAGTACTGCATTTAACCACTGCGCCACCTCGGCTCTTCTTTATAACCACATAAACTTCTTACTTAGTCCAGCTATGGATTCAATTCTAAATCAAACATAATTAATCACAGATCTTCACTGAAAAAGCTTATTCTGGCCTAGCTTGCAAAATTAAAAAAGATGGAAACAGTTTACTTAAGTACCAATGGATTCCAAATGGCTAAAAACAGGCAGAGAACAAAAACGCCAGAATTAGAACATAACTGACCTATGCATACATTTTCATCGTCCAGCTTTGCAGAAGCATTTCTGTAGTAGCCCAGCCTGCACAACTGACAGTGGTACCCTCTAGTGTTGTGTTTACAGCTCACACAAATGAATGTGCTGAGCAGATCGATGTAACTGCACCGGTTGGAGTGGCCGAAGCATTCACAGTCTTGCAAGGAAGAACAAAAAATGTATACAAAAGGGTATTCTGTAGTAGACTCTCAGCAGTTCACACGTTCTTCTTTTCTCAAAATAAAAAAGTCATGACACATGAGCAGGTTATGAATGAGCAGCAGGACAATACATTCATGAACATCATGGTAGCATACGTGGACAATGAGAGGGGCTATGAAGGGGGCATCTCTCTTCAGGCAGGAGAGAAGGATGAGATGTTCCATATCGCAGCGTTGAGGATAGCTTCATCTCGTCATAGAGTCTAATGGAGCCAAAGCATTTTTAAGTTTTTAAGCCTTTTGCTAGTTTTGGGCGCGCAGGTTCTGGTAACACAAACTCTGGTGGTTTTGCCAGAAGTTGATACTTGTCTGGGATTTTACTCATGCTCCTTTTACATTGCTTTGATGACAACTGCATTGCAACGTATTCCAGAAGGTAGCAACATGGTCCTCTTCAAAGAGGTTGGACCGAAGGTGCTTTTTCAAAAGGCAACTGGACTTCCGTTGTTCTGCTTGAAGACACTTCGTTTCTCGTCCAAGAAGCTTTTTCCGTTCTGCAGAAGATCTGATGAACCTTCTTGAATGAAGAAGAAACATCTTCAAGCAAGACAAAGAAAACCCAGTTGCCTTTTGAAAAAAGCACCTTTGGGACAGCCATGACTTGGGTGACTGAGAATATCCACAGACATCCTTCAATGATTGGCTATCCAGCAAAAGCACCAAGTATGTTTAGGCCTAACCTTTGACCTTGATGACATCATTTAGTACTGTGCAATATTAATTTATGGTTCTATCTTGAAATGTATCTGCCTTTGAAGACTGTTTAAGCCTATCAGTTCAAAATACAGCCACTCCCTTGCAAAGGAAGACCAGAAATATGATTATTTATAGTATCTGTCCTTAAATGTCCCTGATTCTTTCCTGAGCTCAGTTCAAAAGGCTGTGAGCTAAGGAAGTATAAAATGTTCCACCATAGAATGGAACTGAAACAGACCACTCAGTCTTTGCAAAGGGATTGTTTTGGATGGTTCCACCACAAAACCGCGTTCGACTAAAGCACACTCGATGAAACCGCGTACCTGACGTCATCACAGCGCGACGAAAAAAGCA